CCACATTTCTGTGTTGGCAAGTGGGTGGATGCTGGCACCACCAGCTGAGACAGGGCCTTTAGGAAAGTGAGAAGGCAGGAGAAGAGGGGGAGGAGGAGGATGAGATCATATCTGGACTTGTTAGGTTAAAGTGCCAGGAAGCAGGGCTCAGTGGTCTGAGTGGAGCTCCAGAGGATCTTCCCTGTCCCCACAAGGAATGTCCAAGGGAACTCATCCCCGGGCAGGGCAGAGGTATGTGACACCCCAGCTGGGAGCCTCTATGATACAAACCACCAAGTGTTCAAACATGCTGACCACTATGACAAAACATGGACTGCATCCCCAATTTCAGGAGAGGAAGGTCCTGGAGGACCAACAAGGCCAAGGCAGAACCCTTGACTTCCCACTTACTTATTCCCCATGCTCCTTGGCAAGTGACACTACCACACCCTAAAACCTGTCCTCTTACCTCCCTTTCCTTCCCCTAATCCACTTCGCTAGCTCTCTATCTCAAACAGCCCTATCACTCCTGATCTCTGTCCCACTTTATCTTCATAGCATTTATACTTTCTAAAATATTATGGTTAACCAATGAGACAAGAGTCTACTTGTTTACTATCTAGGTCCCCTTTGAAATGTAGACTCCAGGAGGGCAGGACTTTGTCCTGTTCTTAACCATACCCCCAAAACCTAGAATGTTAACTGGCACACTGTAGGAGCTCAGTAAGCAGTTGTTAAATGAAGTTCTCATCCCAGAACTTCTCTCCCTCTCTGCTGTCACTACACTGATTCAAGTTCTCACACACTTCCCAGAGTGTCCCCGGAGCCCCTTAGACATGTTGACTGCTTGCATGTGGGCCAGGAGGGCGAGGGAGGAGCCTTTCCATTTCCAAGTCACGGAACTTCTCCAATCCATCCATTCTCTACATTGTAGCCAGAGTGGCTTTCTAAAATCACAGATCATGTCAATCTCCCACTTGAAAATTTCCAGGGGTCCTCAAGGTCCAGCATGCTCACCTCTCCAACTGTACCTCCAATCACTTTACTCCACTTTACTCTTTACTGCCCATACTCTGCTCTGTTCCTCAAGCCAAACCTACCTCCAGTGCCAGTCACACCTCTGTCTTCCCCAGAAATCTGCAAGGATTCCAGTTCATACACTACCTCCTTGGAGAAGCCTTCCCTGACCATCCAAACTAAAATAGAGCCCTCCTTCTCTGCCCTCACACATCCACCTGATTATTTCCTTCACATCACTCACCACAGCCTATTCTTGTTCACTGATTTGTTAACTTGATTATTATTTCTCTCTTTTTCACTTCTCTCTTCTCCTAGCATGTATTCCAGTGCCTAGAACATAGTTAAATCTCAGTTAACATTTGCTGGATAAAATTGTGTTTCCACTATCATGATGGTGATGCTGGTGATGCTTATAGTAATGACGCCCTCCCACAGTGAGATGCTGGTTTGAATTTGTGGAGCCAAGGTCTGACTGGAGCATGTTCTTGACCATCTAATTAGAGATAGAGTCCACTGTTACAAGCTTGGTCTGGGCTTTGAAGCCAAGGTGTATGTGTGTGTGTTTACTTTATGCCAGGAGACCTCATCAGCATCATTAGGTACGATCTACCACCTATCTCCATTGACACACACTCAGCAAAAGCAAAATGAGGATGTGTCCATTCTCCTCTATTCCTCCGCAAGATAGGGTGAATTTATTGTGTGTGACAAGCTACAAATATTGAAACAGGAACACAGTCTCTTGGCCCCTTTAGATACTCTCCCCAACTCTCACACTCACCCTGCTGGGAGGGGTTTTTAGGACATGATAGAGAAGAGAGAAAATGCAGTTAAGCAAACAGTACTGGAGGGAGGGATGGGGCTGATAGTCAATAGGGGATGCAGAAGAAAGTTTCTGGCCAAAAACCGAAGCAGGATAACCTGTCAGTTTCAATACCACTGGAAAAAAACTTAAAGGAAAATGCAGTTGAACGCATCTCATAATGTTCCTGAAAAAGAGATATATTTTAGTGAAACTCAAAAATCAGAGACAGAAGAAACCTCAATTGTTTCATTTTAAAGATGGGTACTCTGAAACCTAGAGAGGAAACAGGACTTTCCCAGGACCACACTGAAATTCAGTGGCTGATCGGGGTGCTTGGGTGGCTCAGTTGGTTGAGCGTCTGACTTCGGCTCAGGTCATGATCTCACAGTCCGTGAGTTCGAGCCACACGTTGGGCTCTGTGCTGTTAGTTCAGAGCCTGGAGCTTGCATCAGATTCTATGTCTCCCTCTCTCTCTGCCCCTCCCCCACTCATGCTTTGTCTCTTTCTCTCTCAAAAAATGAATAATCGTTAAGAAATCAGATTCTATGTCTCCCTCTCTCTCTGCCCCTCCCCCACTAATGCTGTGTCTCTTTCTCTCTCAAAAAATGAATAAATATTAAAAAAAATTTTTTTTAAAAAGAAGAAGAAATTCCATGGCTGAGCTGAGACTAGAATTCTCACTGTTCAAAGTTCAGTAGTTTTCTGGGACACAGCATCACCAGTGTAAGCCTAACTTAGCTAAATTGAACTAAGTCATCCACATGTACACTCGTCTCTGTGGCCACAGAAACTAGCAAAAGCTTGTGTCCAAAACTCACCCAAATTCTTATGGCTTCTCATTTTAGCTCTCCTTCCTCTTGGTCCTTGGCCAGCCTATCACAAGACACACATATCACTTCCCTTCTGACTCCCAAGCTGATGCTGTCAAAAAAAAGCAGGAAATAACTGAAAGATATATGCTGGTAGAGAACAGGGTATGTACATTTTTACAAAACCAGCGGGTGAATCATATTAGATACTGAACACTCTTTGAAGCCATGTCTGATCAGAAATCATGATTCTCACCCAATAAAATTGTGGGCAATCAGGACCATTTAAGAGTATCTACAGCTCCATATGGGATGGAATGACAAGAGGGGAAAAAAAGAGGAAAAAAAGGTTAAGTCTACCACTCATGGTTCAGAGATCAGGTCAGATATTGGGGAGCTCAGAAAAATGTTTCTATAAAAAATATAAATAAAATTATATTTCTAAACGACAAATGTGAAAACTGGGGTCAAAATAACAGAAAATAAGGAACCACAAAGTACCAATTAAACTTGAGGTCCAATCCCAAATAATTACTTTAGGCAAACAGTGTAGATAATCTTTCTTCATCTTTACAATAAGGATAACAACAGCAATCATAGATGTAGTCATCGCTTACAGATCACTACCCATATGACAGGCAGCGAGTTAACTACTTTATATCCCTTCTTTCATCTAACCCTCATCTAATCCAACCCCAAGGAACATAGACATCATTATTTCCAATGAGACTCAGACAGATGAAGTAATTTGCCCAAATTTATTGCCAAGGTATGGGACCAAGATGTACATTCAAGTCTGCAGTTCTTAATCATTATATTTCAAAGGGTGGTTGTGAGGATTACATTTAAATTTAATTTAATTTAATTTAATTAATTAATTTATTCTTATTTGAGAGAGAGAAAAGGCACGAGTGGGGGGGGCGGGGAGAGACAGAGAGAGACAGAGAGAGAGAGAGAGAAAGAGAGAGAGAGAGAGAGAATCATAAGCAGGCTCCATAGCAAAGCAACACGAGGGCCTGATTCCAGGACCCAGGGAACATGACCTGAGCCGAAATCAAGAGTGGGATGCTCAACCAACTGAGCCACCCAGGCACCCCTAAATTAAAATTTTAAAAGTAAGCTCTCAGTACTTGCTCCTGGCAGTTTGTGTCCCTTCCTGTCCATATTTACAATCCTTGTCTCATCCTCCATAAGAGAGGGGCAATAAAGCTCAATCATCCATTGGCAACTCTCAGACCATCTGTTGCCAAAGTCACTGAATTCCTGGTCAGCTTACTGGCGGACAGAGGTGGAGGGGAGGCCAGGAAAAGATGCTGAATGCCATCCCTTCCTGTTCCAGCTAGAAGACTCAGAAAATAGGGGGCATTGAGAAAGGGGTCTCTGGCTTTGCTGTGAGAACTGGAAAATCTAATTTTCTTCTCTGGAAATTTCCCCCTTTGGAAAGAGGAAGCTGGACTGCAGGGCCCCTGAAGGGACCACGGAACTGTGGCAAAGAGCACGTGTTTCCCAATTTATTTAACTCCTCAGGTCCCACCCCATCTTCAAAATGGTAGACAATAAAATAATTGTAGGCAGTTTACAAGGTTGCTCAATCGAACTAAATAATTCCACAAAAAGTGCTTAGCAGAGTGCCTAGGACATGGTACGCATTCCATAAATATTAATTATTATTTTTATTGCTATTATTAGTATTCCAACCCCGTAACATTTGAAGTGTCTCTTAAGCCAGAGGGTCCCGTTGTGAATGACTTTAATTTACAAATGCATTCAACGGTCTGCCTAAAGAGCGGCTCTACAGCCCTGTGTTTAGTGCTTTCCACCGCCCAATGACCAGGTTTTCTACCTCCAGGGGAAGGCTGCGACTTACACAACAGCCATGACAGTACCTGCACAGACATAGTACCCTTCCCCTTCTTTTCCAGCCGCGGGGTGAAGCCTGAGCCCCAGACTTCCGCAGCCCGCCCAACTCAGCCACCATTGGTCGCCTCCTCGCTGGCGTGATTAAGGCCCCGCCCCTTCTCTCTGGGACCACGCTGAGGCGACCTCCGGAAGCGGAGGGGCCTCAGAGGAGGGACTGCGATGCAACCTGGGCTTCGTAGTCCGACTGGAAAGCTGCAGCCAGAGACCGGGGCATCGCCATCCGGAGAACTACCATCCCCAGCAGCCGGCGGAGAGAGGAGGGGCTGGCGTCACGTGGGCGCTCGGCCTGGGCGGGCTATTTCTCAGTGCGGCGGCGGCGGCGGCGGCTCGGGGGACCGGGGCCTTTTGTTTGGAGCGGCTGCGGGGGGGCCCCGGAGCGGCGAGGCCCGAGGCCTTCCCCAGCTCGCTCGGTCCCGGCACACCCTCGAGGGGGTGGGGAGGCCGCCCCCTGGGCCGGGCCTCGCCTTAGGCGCCGCCGCCCCGCCCCAGGCCCGCCCCGCCCGGCCTGAGGGGAGGAACCGGCCGGGCCTTCCCGCGCGGCCGAGACACCTCCGGAGTCGACTCCACTACCCCCCGTGCTCCGGACCCGAGGCTGCCTTTGGTTCCTTAGGCAGACGCCATGAAGATCAAGGATGCCAAGAAACCCTGTAAGATGGGGGCTTGGGCCCCCCGGGTTGGGAGAGCACTTTGGGCCCCGTGTAGAAGCGCCTTAGCGGAGCGGCGTTGTTCCCAGCCCGTCGGCCCTCGCAGGCGCCCGGCACGGGATGGGGGGGCGGAAGGACCATTTCAGCATCGGGGTTGAGGCTCCCTCTTCATTCCCCTGTGAGCGCGTGACGAACGCCTGCCGCCTCCTGGCCCTTTCCTCCCACTTCCTTCTCGAGATCTGGAAGGCACTTGGGGGAATTTTTGATTCGGGTTTTGCCAGACCAGACGGGAGCTATCAGTCCGCTGCCCCAGCTGGCTCTGAAGTCAGGTTGAAAATGGGTGTCATTTGCGCAGGGGCATTTACCGCCTCCCCCCCCCCCCTTTTTTTTTTTTTTTTTTTTTACTGATTTCTGAGCTTCCAGCATGTGTCCTTGAAATCCTGGTGTGTTCCTGGGAGTTGTCACCGCTGTTACAATTAAAGCCTTTTTAAAACACGCCTGTAACCTACCAGCGGGTAATTGCTTTGGCTTGTTTTTGTTTAGAATAACAGCTAGATCGTGTTTGCTTGGAAAAAGAGACATAAAAGGATGAAAATCATAGGTATTCCCGCCGCTCAGGGCTAACCACTATTAATATTTTGGTGAATACTCAGATTTTTCTACGTCAGTATATATGTGCGAACTTTTTAATGAAACATTCTTTCCCATGTTTTAAACGAGCGTATCAACTTTCATTTGCTTCCTTTTATTTTTAGCCTTTTAAAAACCTTTACTCCTGTAAATAGCTTATTTAATCATTCATTGTGATTTCATACTAAGTACATTCTCCCAGAGCAACTAGGAATGTGGGGATGCATGCTTATTTCTTAGAGTTGTGTTGATAGTTCACAGTTTTTAGTGTCTCAAGTGATAAAACGGAGCACTGACACCTTCCCTTCTGGCCCATCAGGGTTCTTGTTACCTCAAGGGAGAGGCAACTTACTGCAGCACTCTGAAAACTATGGATTGTTATTTAAACGTGAGATAATTCATTCTTAATGTTACTGGTGAGGAAATTGAATTTATTTAGCCCCAGAGTAACTTTTCCAAGGCTATGCCAACCAACTCTGCTAATGAGGCTCAGGGCCCTAAGTGAACTCCTAGTCCAGTGTTCTTTTTTCTGCACCCATAGGGCATAGTTTAGTCTAAATACTTAAACACAAACCTTTCTGACGTGGTGATTTTATCTGCCTGATGAAGAAAATGTGTATTTTAACGATTTCTTGTGATCTTTAAAGAGTACTTACTCAAGGGGTCTATAGAATAGTGATGGGAAGGTTTAAATGACAGTTAATAGAGAACCAGTTTTAATTTTCTTTACATTTGCTGAATTAAACTAACCTTGAACAGATGCAGTAACGTCGAACACTTGGACATGTTCCTTTAACACATACATTTTCCCTGCTTGTCTTAGAAGTTCCATTTGGTAAAATGAGTTGAACTCTGACAAGCTCATATTCTAACTCTTAGGGTATTTTCTTTTTGCCATGATGCTGATGTGATTTGTTAGATTTGGGCACACTTGTAATCAGGTATGAATGCTGCCTCTGTCAAAGGTGCTTCAGCAAAGATAATACGTAAAGGTTTATAAAATAAACTAAGTTGAGAAAGGAGCACCTGTTTTTTAGAAGTTGCTTATTACTGCTTAGGGGACAGTGCTGAAAGAGTCATGCTGAAACACTAGTCAGTTAATCGGATTTAGAAGTCTAAAGTGACATTTCCCGTTTCTTATATGTAAAAGGTGACTTTGCTGCTTCCTCAGTTCTTCACTGGGAAAGTAAAGAACATCTTGTTTTTGTGTGGGGGAAGTATTTCAATTATGAGCTATAAATATATAGAACTAGAAAGTGTCATTTCTGACGTTTCAAACCACTCCGATTAGGGAAAGATGTATTTGTGTTGTTTTTGAGTACTTGTATAGGGTTTTTTTTTTTATAATTATAAACTAAGTGAGCACTTCCTATGTGTAAGGCACTCTTTACATGCATTGCAGCATTAAACAAGTGGCTTTAGCTTCACACTCTTACATTCACCTAAGGGTTAGAAAACATTGCTTTTAGATACAACACTAATATATTACAGGGTTAGAAACCAAATGCATGTATTTAACCAGAAAGTGAGAAAAAGAATCCGTTTCGTCCTCTAGTTGTATAAGGTTAGTGTTAATTCAACTCCAAGGGAAGGATGAAGTCAAACATGAACCTCATGACAAATTTTTCTAGTGAAAATTTTTCTAGTTTTCTATGAAAACCTGAAAAATGGCAATGTTTGCTTGCTTTGCCTTATGTTTTTCACACTGCTTAAGTATTAGATGTTAAAAAGCCAATCACGGGTTCCTCTCTACCTGGACTGACCTGGACTGATCTCTTAAGATATATTCAGTCTTTGTTTTGCTTACCTTTGTGACATGAAGCCTGATTAACAAGGGGACAGTAAAAGATAAATTTTTTTAATTTGATGAGATAAAGGTTTTTGAATCTCTGCTTTGCTAACCGAACCTGAAGCTTTTGTCAAGACCAGAGAGAAGTATATGGCATATATGTGTAGTTTGGCCTGTTTGTAAATTGAATCATTGTTTAACAATTATCACTTCCAGTAGATAATAAGGTACAATTTAATATGATAGTTTCTAACATTCCCTTAGATGTACCTAATTTACCAAAGGAAAAAAAAAAATCTTACGTGATGCTTTTCTAAGGAATTGTGACACTGAAGGTGTGAAGGTGATTATTTTCTTAGTCTATTTTGAAACACCAGCATTTTTATTTGGAGTGATTATTGGGAAGAGCAAAATGTCTTTTTTATCCAAGAAGTTGAAGCATACTTGGAGTTTACCAGTGCACATTCCCATTTTAGAATTTTGTTTCTTAAAATAATCTAATGTCTTGAACATTTTCATCATTTGGTTTCTCTTTCTGCTAAAGAATAATTAAATCCTAATTTGGCATAGGATCCCTTTGGGCTGAAATCTGCATGGGGCCAGTAGCAATTAAATGGTTTGATAATGCTTCTCTTCCACCCCTTTACAATGCCTAGCAAGACACCAAACTCACATAACACAACTTACTAGAAATTAACAGTTTGCCCTGTGGCTAGATGTCTCCTGCTGTTTAATCATTTCAAAAGGTGACTGGACATGCAGGTTTCTTCATTCATGATCCACCCTGGTAAGGAAGATAATTCTTGGTAGCACTTTATGCTTATGGTAGTCCTGGATATTTTTGTTACTTACAGGGAACTAATGGCAGCTCTTTTAGGCTTGGCTGAGAAATAGACTAGGAACTATTATTTTTTTGAAGTCCAAGTAAATCACAGGAGATTCTAGGAAAGTCTGGGGAAAGCAATGCATATTTGCCATCATCAAAGTACGTATTTGTATTTATGGAGTGTGTGCTTTGTTTTTTAAATGTGTGTTTTGATTCATTTTCTTTTTTTACCTTGGCAGTGGAGAGTTTAATTCTCAAAGAATAAAAAAATATTTAGCTTATATGCAGTAAGTAGGCTGCTCATGCACTGGTGACCTACTTTTAACCTATCCCTTGGCTAAAAGCAACAAAGCTATAGGTATAGATACTTGCCTGACTTTTTAGAAAACTGATATTTTTATTACCTCATAAGCTATTAGTGGACCTGTGGTTCCACTATAATAACCTTATATTTGCTTCATGCTTTCATTGCAAATAAAGTTTGAGTTCCATGATCCTTTCCCCTCCTATTTTGGTCAGTGAGAAAATGTTTTTTTGTTTGTTTGTTTGTTTGTTTTTTTAATGTACTGAACAATGTAAAGATCAGATATTTGACCACTTACTAAATGATAGGAATGGGTCATAATTAAGGATTTGTGTTTTCTGTGGTGCATGCCTGGCTGGATCAGTTGTTAGAGCATGCAGTTCTTGATCTCTGGGTTGTGAGTTCCAACCCCATGTTAGGTGTAGAGATTACTTAAAAAATAAAATCTTTAAAAAGAAAGAAGAAGAAGAAGAACTTGTGTTTTCTGTGTTCTTACTCTCTTCTGCATACTTTTTGAATGTGATCCTCCCCACCTGCCCACATAAGGAAATGAATTCCAGAATTCTGCTGAGTTGAAAGGCTCACTAATACCAAAGGTGGCTGTTACCAGTTGTTGTTTTTTTTGTCAGTGGCAAGGCTGAGTTCTCTTTCAGTATCTACCTTTCTGATTTTAAGAAGAGAATTACCATAAGTGAGATTTACTAAGAAATAGAGGGAACATGTTATGTTCTAGATTGCACATGATGATGAGTGAGAAACTCATCATTTACAATCTAGTTACCCTTCCTTTAAGAACAGACATCTCCTAGGCTAGATGTGAGATGAATCTTGAGCTTTTTGCATTCATAATTTTAAAAGCCTACCTCTAGGCAATAACCGTTAAAGAAATTACATAGTTCTTCCAACTTAATCTGAGGTATTTGGAAGAACCTTCTGTTTCTTTAGTGTACAAAAGTGGCTACACAAAGATTTAAAATTGAATGGTAGGTGTGCCTGGAAAGCTCAGTTAGCTAAGCTTCTGACTTTTGACCTCAGCTCAGGTCTTGATCTCCCTGGGCTCCATGCTGGGCTTGAAGCCTACTTAAAAAGATAAAATTGAATGGTAGTACTCTGTTTCATAAATTTGTCGTTGTTGATGGTTGTTAGGTCATACATGTTTTATATTCTTCAGCAATTAATGTAATTTAAAAGAAATAAGGGATTTGGTATACTGTAATAATAAAACAGCTTTGTTTACAAATGTTTTTTACTTTCTGTGTGGAGTTTTCCTTTTCAGATAGGACAAGTTTGGTTGTTTCATGCAAATAGATCAAGAAAAGCCTTTTAAAAGAAGTGAAAGGTTTTTGTTTTTCGTTATCATTTTAATGATAATTACACCTAAACAGTCATTTTCTGTCTCTGAGAAAGAACTGGTTAACACTTTCTTGCACCCAATCCTGTTTCATTCACAAACAGGATTTCATTCTGTGAGCCTTTCTGTTGCCTACTCCACAGTTCCGTGTTTTGGAATTGGCCATTGCCCTTTGGGGTCAAAAACCTTAGTGCTAACCACACAGGTTTAGAAAAGTAGAAAGTTTCTTCCTCCCCAGTATTTTTATCTGTAAACTTCAAATATCTTCCTAGGCAGTAAGTAAGGTTCTTTTAAAAATTATGGTTTCATGTAAGAATTAAAAGTTCTTCACGTAAGTGTTAATTGGTTTTTTTTTTTTTTTTTCTTTCAAGAATGGCAGTGTTCACTTATTTATAAGCCTGGGAGTAGGCAGGGACTTCTGACTAAAAATAAAAATAAAATGAACTTTCAACTTGGTAATGTTTCAGCGTTACAGTTTGCGTGGAAGTAACATTTTTATTTGTATATTTTAACACCTGACAAAGGCATAGAAAGAAAGACTATAAACTTAAACAACTTTTAAAGTATTTTGAACTTTGGAAAATAAAAGCTTTTAGCTCAATAAAACTCACCTTGTAGAAACTTTTCTATCCCAAAATATACTTTACATAGCAGCAGTGATTTGCACACCCACCCCCATGAAATCTAGAATCAAGCATCAATCAAATCAATCATTTTGGTTATATAATCTCAGAAGCATTCCTATGTTTTATCTAATATCCATTGAAAAGTGTCCTAACTGCATATCTGTTCAACAGTTTGGGAAAATTCTGAAGGCATCTCTGATTTATTGGATCAGTAAAGCTACTCTGTATTGTCTTCTTTTAAGACAAACAGTTGCTGTGAATATCCCCTTTGTAACTGTTAGTATTGCTACTTCCTAGTAGGGATTGAAAAATTGAGAAACTTTAGCCTGTTTCTTTTACTACATCTTAGTTATTTATAAAAACATAGGCATAAAAGCATAATGCCTCTTTGGGGTCTTACTGCCACCCAGATTATGGTCTTACATCATTTTACAATTTTTTTAAAGAAGTTTCTATTTTAAGATTGTCTTTAATGTAGACCTATATCTGCAACTTAGGTTTCCAATACAAAAACAGGCTAGAAAGAAAGAAAAGTGAGCTCTTTCTCCAGAAAAAGATAAGAATTACACTTCCTCATATTTAATATTAATTTCAGTAAATGTAAAATTCTGTAATGGAGAAATATATAGAATCCTATCTTGCTGAATTGTATGTTCCTGGTTTCTAATAGTCACACATAACAAAAACACTAATATTTAAGAAACAGAATTTTAGAGGGAACTAGTCGTCTTTGACAACTTATACATAAAAACCTGTTATATATTTTATTCTGAGGCATTTTGTAATGTATGTATTTAAATATTAAATTATTTTGAGTATCATCTTGTTTAAGAGATGAATAGAGATGAATAGAGAGAATAGAAACAGACCTTAAAGAAACTTGGATTCAGAGAAGTTAATGGCTTTTCTAAAGTCATATAGTCCAGTTAGTGAAAGACCACCAAGTCCCAACTTACCTACCCAAATGATAGAACTGGCTGCCCACATATGCCCCAGGTAGACTTATCTTCAATATTATTAACAGCTAATTTTATTAACCAGATGTACCAAAGAAACCTAATGCTTAATGAGAAAGAATAAGATTTCTTTTTAAGGAGGTACTTTTACCTTGGGTTACTTGAAGTAATTATAGGGCAATTTTACTATGTTAAAATGTTACTAGAAACATTATCAAGTCCTAGGTGGTGACCTATTTATTAAAACAGAATTGTTCCAAATTTTTCCTGATCCCCTGCGGAATATGGTAAGTATTTAATAAATGAAAAGGAATGCCTACCTGACCAGGAATTAAAAGGCCCTGGACCAGCTCTAAGCATCCTATGTTACAGAGTTTTAGAAAATATACAAGTAATGCTTCAAATGGAAAAAGTTGAGTTGCACATAGAAGATGCATCTTACCCCAAAAATATTACTGACTGCATGATTCAGAGTAAGCGAAATTTGTGGCTAATTAACTAGTTTCTAACTAATTTGTGTTTCTAAAACCAATGTAGGTAAAGTTATTACTTTTTTTAATCCACAGCTTTCCCATGGTTTGGCATGGACATTGGGGGGACTCTAGTAAAGCTCTCCTATTTTGAACCTATTGATATCACAGCAGAGGAAGAACAAGAAGAGGTTGAGAGCTTAAAAAGTATCCGGAAATATTTGACTTCTAATGTAGCATATGGATCCACTGGTATTCGGGATGTACACCTTGAACTGAAGGATTTAACACTTTTTGGCCGAAGAGGGAACTTGCACTTTATCAGATTTCCAACCCATGACCTGCCTACTTTTATCCAAATGGGAAGAGATAAAAACTTCTCAACATTACACACGGTGCTATGTGCTACAGGAGGTGGTGCTTACAAATTTGAAGAAGATTTCCGCACAGTAGGTATCTGTTACTCAAAGCCAAACATTGATACCCATTCTCTTTAATTTTTAAAACATGAGTCTAGGTTTCCTTCCATCTTACATGTTTCTTAGATTAGTTGCCCCTGCTTGGATACAGAGGAAGTTTATATTCATGACAAGCTTTTCATCTGGGACACGTTTTTGGCGGTGGGGGGTGGGGTGGGAGGGGGCAGAGGGAGACAGTCTCAAACAGGCTCCACTCTCAACGTAGAGCCCAACATGGGGCTCCATCTCATAACCTTGAGACCATGACCTGAGCCAAAATCAAGAGTAAGACATTTAACCAACTGAGCAACCTAGGCACCCTTCTTTTGGGGCACTTAAACACCTTTATAGACTGAGTAAAAAATCACCCAGATTTGGCCTTATTGTACATGATGTTTGGTAAAACCTGCGAGGTTTAGGGACTGTTACAAAGCTACAATAAGAAGAAATTTCAGTGAATTTGGTAGTGTACGAAGCCAGGTATAAGTGGGGTTTGAATTATTTTCACTATTACCGTCCTGTGTTTGCATTGCTCTTTGTTATTACTCATATAGCCCTCTCTCCTAGGGCCATCCCCCTCCCCCAAAGAAAAACAGCTGAAGCCAGTGTCTTTTGACTAGTAGACATCTGAATGAAAGTCCCTATTACCTCCTTTTCCTGATTTTATCTGTCAACATTACCATGGTCTTGTCTCAAAGAGTGCCATTTGGAAATGGCAAATGTAAGCATTGATTTATGTGCTAGTGGGGGTTTGCCAAGCTTCTAGTTCTTTCCATTAGAGTAAAGATTAGAAAGTTGGCATTTGGGGCTACTGAAATTTGTTTTCTGTGAAAATATGCAAGTGGACCGTTTAATTTCTTAAATTTATATAGGAAAAATCTTAATAGAACATAAGTGATCACTTACATGGCTCATATAACATAAGCCCCTTAAACTTTGGGATAGTTTAAAAGTCTAAATTTTATTAATTCTTTTATTTTGATGGATAATACTGATTTGTTTTCAATTTATTGAATAATTTGAACATAAATTTCATAAATTTGAGACCAGTTTGCTTGGACATGAGATATTTGGTGTTTAATATTCTTACCAAAAGCAGTGTCCTTGATGCCAGCTTTCATTTCACCTGGCCACTATCAATATTTTCTAGTGATGAAGTTCTGTAATAACTTTCCTGTTGATGCTCCATCATTTATTAAGCTAATAATTGAGCATGTAGTATATGTCAGGTATTATGCTAGACACAGCTCAGCTGGAAATAAGACACAGTCTTAGCCCCTAAAGAATGTAGTAGTCTAGACCACACAAATGATTTAAAAGTAAAAGTACCGTGTCTGATAATTAACGCTATTGCTGTGAAAAACAGTGCCACGGGAACACCAGAGTAGTGTGGTACCTAACAAGTTCTGGATAACGAAAGCTTCCCAGAGAAGTGATCTCTAAGCCGAGATTTTATTACAAATACTTTATAACATTCTTTACTAACCTGAAGTAAGTTTAATAATTTCAAACTAGTACTCAAAGTATAATATAGAGACAGGAAATGAAGTTATTTATATATTGGTAGATTTCTCTAGTAGGATCACATAAAAGGGGCATAATGAAATAGTTAGATACTGGCACTTAGATATACATTCACCGTAAATTCTAAAGCCACAAATGCTAACAGATTGATATGGAAGTCCAGTATTTCCTCAGTTTATATAATGGTTGCATTCCTAGCAAATTTAGTGTATATATATTAAAACCATATAAAGAATATTTTATGTTTACATAGGCATGGATAATTATAAACAAATTTTCCTACTGCTACCTACAAAAATGTCTGTCAGAACAGTGAAAGATAGAGCAGGAATGGGATATTTCTTTGTTTTGCACAACTGCCCCATTCACTGGAGTTGTGCCCCACTCATTTGCACAACTGCCCCACTCATCTGACATCACAAGTCCCTGCCCATTAAATGTTAGTTTGGTTCTTTTCTCCTCTCTATCTTTGTGAAAACTGAAAATCCCCACAAATACCTCCAGAGGTAATACCACCATCACCAAGAATCATAGGACTAAGAGATGTTGACACAAAACAAGTGGAAATGTATAGATGATTTTGAAGTTTTATAAAGTATGTGAAAATTATACAGTGCATTTGAGTCAAATATTTTTAATACTGTCCCTTGTTCACTTTGTACAACTTTTTTGGTGTTTTTGTTTTTGTTTTACAGATTGGAAACCTCCACCTGCACAAACTGGATGAACTTGACTGCCTTGTAAAGGGCTTGCTGTATATAGATTCTGTCAGTTTCAATGGACAAGCAGAGTGCTATTATTTTGCTAATGCCTCAGAACCTGAGCGATGCCAAAAGATGCCTTTTAACTTGGATGATCCCTATCCACTGCTGATAGTGAACATTGGTTCAGGAGTCAGTATTTTAGCAGTCCATTCCAAAGACAACTATAAACGAGTAACCGGGACAAGGTAGTAACCTTTTTGTTCTTATTGCAGCATTCATGTTGTTTTATACACAGAAGTTGTGAACTCATATTAATGCCAGCCTTTAACATGTATTTATGCAATAGAAAAAAAAGGTAGATGTGTAAGTAGAAGTTAAAGTGTTATAGATTATTTTGTTTCATAAGGTATGTGTGTAAAGACTCAAACTGAAATCATTATTTATATTTGCTTAGCAACAGTTGGCACTAAACTTTCCACAATTGTAAGAGGGAATTTTTATCTGGAATGATTCCAGGGACGTTTTTATTTTCCAAAGCATTCTTCTCTCCTTTCACTATTTTGTAGATATATTTAAGCCTAATGCTTGACACTGGTTAGCTTGCATGCTGATTGGATTAGATTCATATTTAAGTGTTGTGTTAGACAACATTATGATAATTCTTATAGGATGAATTGAACATAAGCTCTTTATGGAATAACATTAATGTTCCAAATATCCCAGTGTTTTCTATAATGCCTGAAGTATTGTGAAATGAAATTTTTAAATTGTCCTTATGATTCTGATATATACTTTATCAGCTTTTAAGGAGGGTAGAGACTCCTTTTTATTTGAGGAAGAAAGATTTTGGGGTTTATGAAAAATACTCATTTCCATTTTAAAGTAGTGCTCTTGGGGCGCCTGGGTGGCGCAGTCGGTTAAGCGTCCGACTTCAGCCAGGTCACGATCTCGCGGTCCGTGAGTTCGAGCCCCACGTCAGGCTCTGGGCTGATGGCTCAGAGCCTGGAGCCTGTTTCCGATTCTGTGTCTCCCTCTCTCTCTGCCCCTCCCCCGTTCATGCTCTGTCTCTCTCTGTCCCAAAAATAAATAAACGTTGAAAAAAAAAATTAAAAAAAAAAAAAAAGTAGTGCTCTTATTAAAGTGATACATAATATTTTTGTTCGTTTTAATTAAACTGCCCCCCTCATGGAGCTCAGACTCACAACTCTGAGGGTCACATGTTCTGACTGAGCCAGCCAGGTGCCCCTAAGTGATCCTTAAATTAGTATTTTATATCTATGGTGGCTAAAAATCTACCTCTTTTGTGATGCTCTATGCCAGAGAATTACAGGGAAGTATTACTGCAGTCAATTCTAAAAGAAATTAAGTCTGGTTAACTAAATTCCAGCAGTGACCAGGAATAGAGTCTGTTAGAAATTGAGGTGAAACTGAGGAACAAAGGTTTTGATTTTAGGGGTTAGACATTTCATTTTATCAGCATATCCAAAAGAATAACAGAACCAAGTAAATTTCTGGCATTAACATATTGACCAGACTGACAAAAATTTTCTCACCATATTCATTTCTGGGTCACATTAAATGCTTATGTATCACAGTGAATTGATTTCAGCCTTGTCAGACCAAGTAAGTAGACCTTTCACTAAATCATTTCCTGGAAACCATTTAGAGTTACAAATTTTCTCCTTTTAATTCATATAGTAATTTTTAACATTTAAACTGTTTTTTCACACACATAAAAGCATTTATTTTTTGGCAATTACAAAGTGTAAGGAATTGGTAAAGATAATAGAAGATATAAAATATCTCTTCCATCCTCATGATGCTTCCACCAAGTGATTATCTTTCCCTTTGGTTTATTTCATCTGACAAATTTGGCTTTGCTAGGCATTTTTCTTACCTTCATTATGTTGATATTTCAGCACTTGGCATTAGCAATATGTTCTTTCTTTGTGTTTGTTGAATATATGAATACTCTCATTTTTACTTTGGAAGAAGAATACAGTGTATAAATGTAACTTACCCAGTTTTATTTTCTTTAGCCTTGGAGGAGGTACCTTTCTGGGTTTATGCTGTCTGTTGACTGGCTGTGAAAGTTTTGAAGAGGCTCTTGAAATGGCATCCAAAGGTGACAGCACCCAAGCCGACAAACTGGTCCGTGATATTTATGGAGGAGATTATGAAAGATTTCGTCTGCCAGGTTGGGCTGTAGCATCTAGGTAACTTTAATATTTATGTTGTAATGAAAGTTGCCTATTTAGTTTTTAGAAAGCAATATATTAGGAAGTTGTAAGGAGGCTTACTTACTCTTAACCCAGTTTAGGTTCCAAGTTTTGAACATTCATGTAGTTTAAAAATTAGATACACATTAAGAAGTCTCCCAGGTATATACCCTATAGGAAACCATTTTTATTCTTGTGCATCCTTTCAGTTTTTCTTGATGCAAATGTAAATACATATCCTTATCCTCCCCTTACTTAGAAGGTAACTTTCAAAAGGTAATATTTGTATACTACCATACAGCATACTGTATGTACTCTTCATTAGGCAAGATATCCTAGTCTATCTGCTGGCCTCCCACCCTACCTTCATTTCTCTCTCTTTCTCACCTTCTTTTCTCCCCCTTCCCTTTTCCTCTCCCCCCACTTATTAACAGCTTCTTGGTATTTTATTGTGTGGGTTTATCAAAGTTTGTTGGATGTTTTGGTGGTTTCCAGTATTTTGCTGTGTATAGTTCAATGGGTCAGTCAGTAACCTTGTTAACATGCATTATTTTGTACATACCACATTTATCTGTAAGATAAATTCCCAAAAATGTTGATTATCAGCAGAATTGATTTTGTCTTTCATTTCTTTGCAGTTTTGGGAATATGATTTATAAGGAGAAGCGAGAATCTGTTAGTAAAGAAGATCTAGCAAGAGCAACTTTAGTTACTATCACCAATAACATTGGGTCTGTGGCACGAATGTGTGCTGTTAATGAGGTAAAAAAATTAACTATATGGAAAATGTGGATTGAAATTTTATTTATGTACAGCAGGGCTTCTTTATGTTCCTTAAGGAGGTCTCTAGGATTGAGGTTACTCATCTCTGTTAAATCCCAAGGCTCATTAGCTAAATGTCATGTGTACCCACTTACTGTTATTTGTAAAGAAAATAGCAGATAATTCAAATTGGAAGGAGGACAAATAGATATTTATATTTCAAATTTATCTAGAAGCTTTTCCAGAAATATACCACCTAAATCTCTTGAAGATAGAAAATTCTTTTTTCAAACATAGGACATTTTTGAAGTAACTACTGAAAGAGGGTTTGGTTTTGTTTTTTGGATTTTTTTTTTTTTTTTTTTTTTTTTTTTTTTTTTTTTTTTTTTTTTTTGCTGTTAATGTTGCATTTGATTAGCAAAGTGCTTGGAAGTTTTCTTATTGCCTTTGGCTTCTTTACAGTGCTGCCTTGTTGCATATGGATCAAGCAGCATTGTACAGGGCTATGAAGGCATTGAGACTTGTTCTTCACATGCAATTTGAATGATACATACTTACGAAAAGCATAGATTTATCTTGTAGATTTGCCTCACTGTTGGGTTATTTTTATATGAAGGAGAGTAAATACACAGTTCTGCCTTCATGTAATAGATGTATTTGCCCATTTAATTTTTGTAAATATTAAATACTTTAAATGAATTGGAAATTTTGCTTTTTGAGGGAATCCTTCATTTGTTCATTCATTTATTCATTGTGGAGTACCTTGTACCAGGTATTTTTCTAGGCACTAGGGATATATTAGTGAAAAAAACAAAGACCCCTGACTTTGTGGAGCTTCCATCTATTCTAGTGATAGAGTAAATTTTTTAGTATATGTTAGGTAATAAATGCTACTTTTTACAAAAAGAAAACCAAACAAGATAAAGAGAATGGCAGAAGTCAGATTGCTGAGTAGTTTGCTTGTTAAAGGAAGGCTTTATTGAAAATGTGACCCTTGGATAAATATTTAGAGGAGGTAAGATAATCATGCATATTATTCTGTGTTAAAATCCAGAGTTCTAAGTGTCTCAATAACAGTTTAGTAAGTTGGTGGAAAGAGCCACTAACAGGTGTTTTAACCCAGGTTTGGGGAATATTTCACTTTTGGGGGCAGACAATATTCTGGGACCTTTTTTCTTAGCCCTGTAGATCTATCTAGGTTTTCACTGGCCACTTAATAGTAATTAAGGCCATAGCATACACTATCCAAACTCAGTGTGCAAAAATGTATACTCAGAAGTCAATATATTGTGAGAATAGAAAACATTTTGGAGATTGAAACACTAGTTCCTCCATCTAAGATTTCCTTCAAGGTATCTAGGGAACTAAATTAGTGAGTTGCATCTTAGCAGAGAGTAACTTGATGGGTTAGGCAGGGCCAGAGATGCTGGAAGCCTCAAGTTTACAGTGTTTTAATTCTAAACACATTTAAAATACTCTTCCTTGGTTTCTCTTCTTTAATCTCAATAATATTTCTCCAAATTACTTTCTTAATAGGTTATTTATTGGCCATTTTCAAAAACAAGTCTCATCTAAAATCATTTACTAGGGTCTTTCGAGAAGTTTTTTAAAATAGACTATATTTTTTAGACAAGTTTTAACTTCACAACAAAATTGAGTGGAAAATAGAGTTCCCACATATACTCTTGAACCCCACTATCACCCAAAGCCCATAGTTTACATTTTGGCTTACTCTTGGTATATATTCTATGGATTGTGACAAATGTGTAGTGATATGTCCTGAACTAAATTTTAAATATTCAGGATTATGGAGGTATATGTACCAGGAATGTAATAGACACTAAAAAAAGGTAGTGGCTAATTATATTTTTAAGTGGAGATTTTCTAAACCCTACTGTATTATAAAATGTACTTGATAGCTCTTATTTGAGGTCATTTTATTTGTTCTTTTCTTTTAGAAAATAAACAGAGTTGTCTTTGTCGGAAACTTTTTACGTGTCAATACTCTCTCAATGAAACTTTTGGCATATGCACTGGATTATTGGTCAAAAGGTCAACTGAAAGCATTGTTTCTAGAACACGAGGTATGATAGGAAAATGATGTTTTGTGAATTTTAATAGTATGCTTTTTTTATATGCAAGTTTTATATATTGCTTCTTGCTGTGTACTTAGAAGTATAAAACTGCGATTTACTAAATAGTATATTGAGTCCCACACTTCAGTTTGAATTGGGGAGATAGGGGTTACTATAACCCCCATAAAGGTTACATGGCCCATTAATGCAGGCACCCCATTAAGATGGAGTTTCCCACTTCTTCTGACCAAGAGAGAGCAGTATTAGATCTTATAAACTCCTTAAATATTAGGATTGCTTGTGTACTTAGTGGATTTCTTTTGTTAAATTGTTTTCTTTTGTTTTTTTTTTTTCCTCCCTTGAAATAACAAATATTAAATGTGAACAACACGAAAATATATAATTTAGCAGTGAAAATTTTTAAAATTCTTAATCCTCCCATCACAACCTCACCCCCACCTCCAGAGGTGACCACTGTTAAAATTTTGGAGTTTATTCAAGATTTTTTTCCTATTCTTTCACTACATCCATTTATTCTGATCTGAAAATATCAGTTCGTGTAATATTTTGGGTTAAGTAAATTTACCTTGAATTATTTTGTTTCTGGTCAAGTGGACATATTAATAATTTTAATAACACATATTCAGAGTTTTCCCTTATAAGTGTCTGTTTCATTGTCTCTGCTCTCACCCTGTAGTTGAGAATGGTGTCCTGCTGTGCAGGCTCTGCATGGCATGCTGTATGCTGTGAGGATGACACATGAACAAAAGGAATTGCGTTTGAGGAAAAGGGGCAAGAGGGGTACAGACTTGCAGCAATAACCTTAGAAGCTTTTTAATGTCTAAGAGCAATACTTTAAAAATAGTATTTCAGGGGTACCTGGGTGGCTCAGTTGGTTAAGCATCTGCCTCTTGATTATGGCTCAGATCATGATCTCACCGTCATGAGATCAAGCCCCAGTCGTCATGAGATCAAGCCCCAGTCGGGGGCGTGGAGCCTGCTCAAAATTCTCTGTCTCTGTTCTTTCCCCGTGGGTGCTCGCACTCGCTCTCGCGCGCTCTCTCTTCTCTCTCTCTCTCTCTCTCTCTCTCTCTCTCAAAAGCACGTATTTCATATTTTCAGATATTAACTGATAACACAAATGGGTAGATTTCCAAATAGATGTTCTTAAATAGATTATAATAAATATCTGTTCCTAATAATGAATATTGTATGCTAATTTAAAAGCTAGACTGCATTAATAATTGTTTTTAAATTATACAGGGATACTTTGGAGCAGTTGGTGCACTTCTTGGGCTGCCAAATTTCAGCTAAAAAGCATCCGGTTTCTCTCTGCTAATAAATGTCATCCAAGAGGAACTGAAAACCAGAGGCATCATTACTGGGAACCAAAGGATAACAGAGTAGCACTACTGCTGTTGATTTTTAAATGTCAGAATGGAAAGCTGCTGAAAGTTGCCATATTAAAAGAGAGCTTGGTAACATGTGAAGTATTTCTAATTGAAATGCTTCCCCTTCTGTATATAACCAGTGTTAAATCCTTAAATGCAATACAGCCTCTGATTCTTGAGCTTCCTCTGAGAAGATTTTCTATTTATTTTATGTAGCCAACATTGCAGTACTGTATGCTCAAACACAAATCTTAAAGTCTCAGAAATGTTTAGCTCCTGAAAATAATTGAATCTGAATAAGTGTGTTCTATGTGTTTTGGTTCCTAGTAAGTGGACAGTAACATACTCTGTATCAAACTTATTGAAATGGCTATCAAAGATGATCATTTTTATGTGATTTTAGAAATGTTAAGGCAATATTAATTTTTCATTATTGTAGTTTTGTCAGCATTTCCCCCGGCCAAAAAAGCACGTTTATGTGATCTTTTCCCAGACATACAAGCTTTTTCAAATGGTATAATTTAATTAGAATACTATTGTTAAATATTAGCCTGAATTTTAAAATGAATCCTAGAAAATGCACATAATTGGTGATATTGCACTTCCTGTATTTTTTAAGTTAATCATTATATTAAAAAATGTTTCATATTTTTTAATTGGAGGCTCAATTACTTATTTGAAAGTCCATTTAATGAAGTCCCAGGACTCTTCTAGTAGAATATGTTTTGCGTGCATTGATAGAAGTCTGTGATCTTTCTGTACCACATTTATCTTGGGCCCAAACTGAGTCATTTCTGTTTAATTAGGTCTGACCATCAAAACTACAGACTTTAATCTATTATGAACAGCAACCAAATCATATTCTAAAGAGATGTGATGGAAATCTGAAATATGAATGGTTTTGAAACTGTAGGAGTCTGAGGCAGTATTACAGAATTCTAAAAAGATCAGTGTTTTACCATTTTGGTAATAGAGGCATTATAGTTTCAAAATTTGTAAGTCCTTTTGCCTTGGAATTTGTTCTCTATTTTGAAGTCATTTTTTATAATGTTACAAATCTTTTCAGATTTTTACTTTGGCAGCAACATTTTGGAGGTCCTGTAGTTCAGCGAATACTCAAGACCATTACTTAATGGTTTACAAAGTAGACTTGGAGAAAATATTCACCTCCTTAAATTACCAGTAAATCTGGATGTACTTGGAAGAGCTTAAAAATTGTGTATATTACAGGAAGAAAGAAGTATTAGTATGTTTTTATAGAACATAATTTTGCTCCATAAAGAACAATTTGCAACAGAGGTGCTGGACATTTCTCCTTATAGTTTTCAAATTTTGTGCTCAAATATTTAAAATTCAGTTTTATTTATCTAAAGACATGAACATATGAGCAATAGGAGTGAATACTTAGAGGAAAAAGCATGCAAGGTAATGTTTTGGAATTTAGAATATTTGGAACTTGGCATTCATGTTCGGTCAGTAAGCCACTCTGAAACCCGACAGTGACTAAACATCTGTGACTTTACTGTTTCCGTTGTTGTGGTTAGATCTTTCTGTCACTACAAAAAGCTACATGTTCATTTTATTTTAAAATTTTGTGATTTGGACATTTGTACAAAAAGTTTTTATTTTTAAATGATAATTTCACATTGTATATTGTGGCAAACTACATTACCAGCTGTAGATTTAGGACTGTGTTTAAGAAAGAAATGGAGGGATGCCTTGCTGGCTTAGTCGGTTGAGTGTCTGACTCTTGGTTTCAGCTCAGGTCATGTTCTCACAGTTTGTGATTTTGAACCCTGTGTCAGGTTATGCACTGCTAGCATAGAGCCTGCTTGGGATTTTCTCTCTGCCTCTCCACCACTCACATTCTCTCTCTCTCTCTCTCTCTCAATAAATAAAAACTTAAAAAAGAAAGAAAAGAAAATGGAATGGTCAGGGTCCATGTAAGTTAATTTGATCAATGCTCTGGTTAATCTGAGAATGTGGTTCATACTTTGTGTCCTTTGAAACTGAAATTTCCTATTAAAATGCATATAAAGTGAACAACCCTTTCAGCACTGTTACTCTTGGCCATTCTCATGTATAGTCAAGAATTACTTGAGTAATAAGAATGAACACAGAGTTGTGATCCAGACTGCCAAGATTATGTTTTTTTAAACATAATCTCATGAAATTCTTTGTAAGCATACAGTGGTAAATAGGTTTGGTTCTAAGCCCAAACAGCATAATGCCTCAGAGCTCTATTTCTATTAGGCTATACTGTTTAAGAACATAAAGTGTGAGCAGTATGTAATTTTATATTTTCTAGCAGGCATATTTAAAAAGTAAAAGAAACAGGTGAAAATCATTTTGATTATATATTTCTTCTTGACCCAGTATATCTGGTATGTTACTATTTCAACGTATAATCAATATAAAATGTTATTTAGGAGATACTGTACCTTTTCTTTTCTTTTTTTTTTTTTTTTTTTACTTTGCCTTCAAAACCAGTGTGTATTTACACTTAATAGCACATGTCAGTTTAGGCTAACCACATTCCAGGTTCTCAGTAGCCACATTTGAGTAGTAGCTACTGTACTAGACAGTTCAGTTCCAGAACCAGCTCTTAAAAATGACCACTATCAAGTATCCATGAAAATTTTATGGATAAGGGCTTTTAAAAGAATACTTGAGAAGGGGATATGGGAAATGTTATTTTTTATGGGAAAAATATGGAACTTTTTAAAAAAATACAGATTAAGAAGTACCTTGTTTGGGCTAGTTTATTTTACAAAGACAAGCTGTATTTCTGACTGTTCCAAAAAATAGCTTACATTGGATCCTGCCATTTCATCATACTGTGTATCATTTTTCCAGTGATACACTGGATAAAGTTGCTCAAGACCCATCCTGACTGGCCTCAACATTCTCCAAAATGTCTATTTCCTTCACTGAAGCAAATTTGAGGATTCCAGTGACTTAAATCCCCTTCCCACCCCCAACCTCATCTACTTGAATTTAGAGAAGACAATTTTAAAGGACGAAAAAGAGACCCTTTTAATTCTTCATTGAGTTGTATATACATGAGAGAATTTTCTTTATAACTTTTGGATTTAATTTTCATTCTTAAAAACTGATAATATTTTCAGATGCAAAGAGCACTATCAGTTTGGGGGCTTGGTAAAGAACACAAGGTCTAGAACTTTCCACCACCAACCCCCTTGTCCCCCCAAAAAAGATTGCCTTTTAACTAGAGACTCTTAGAACTAATGGCCTTCAGTTCTATAACCAGTTTCTCCATAGACCTAGTATTAGACTTGCTTGACTGTCAACAGGGGTATTTATTCCTTGTTCGGCTGCTCTAATTTAAATAGGTGGGCTCTTAGTTTAAATAAATGGCCATTGCCAATAACATATACACGGCAATTGATGGTCTTTCAAAAGGTTCACATTCCTTTGCCAAATATTAGACTCTGTAAAATTCCTGAGCTTTTACTTTTACATGCAAATGTGATTACTGTATTCTAAGTACCAGTTCCTGAAAGTCCATTTCTATAAGAAAAATGATGCAGCTGAAGGGAAAGGTTTTCCTCTATGTCCTGTGGGACTCTTACCTTTGAGAGCAGTCTTGCCGTGATTTCTAAGGTTGCATTCTTGGGTGGAAAGCTTATTAGCAAGTTAATAGTTCCCAGATATCCTTTATAACCACTTTGCTTGTTATATGCAAAAATTTTATATTTTGTTTGGTGTATCTTTTTTTTTCTGTTGAGCACTTTATGCTTTTTAGTCTATTGCATTTGAGAATGTAGCTTAGAAATCCTTTCTTATTTAAAGCCATGTAAAAACAAAGGATAATCACCAGAAAAAATGAGTGTGCATTATTTTGCATTTAACTTACTGGTTTGTGGTATGTATAAACAAAATATTAGAAATATATTGCCTTTTTGTGTAATCCTCTTTGACCTTATTTAAGATGATTTGCCAAGAAATATCATTGGTGTCCTGTTTTCCTAGTAAGTTTATTTTAGTGTGTTTTATTCTAATACTGAAGGAATTCAGCCAACTTTGTTTATATTGTCAGGTAACCTCAGAAAATAATGTGCTTTATCTGTATTACTGCCTATTTTCAATATCTGAGACAGTAGTTGTCTTATATTTTCTACTGAGCCTAGTAATAATCAGCAAAGACCAAAAGAAGTAATTTTTTTCTTCCTTTAAGGTATTTTTAATAGCCTGATAAAAATAATGGTGGCTTGAAAAGTAAATTACCCCAGCTTTTTGACCATATCTAAATTCTGAGTAATTTCCACTTCTAAAAAGTTCAGATGTCTTCTAAAAGCAGTCTCTATTGCTTGTGTTATCTCTTGTGTATTCAGTGGATGTGGGGATCATGATTTGGTATTACATTGGAAATAGTGCCAGCCACTCTTCTAAATTCTTTGAATATTATTTTCTTTCATTGTAAAATGAGGAAATTGATTTGTTACAATGGGAAAGGACACTGTTATCATCAAGATCCTGAAAGACGGTTGCTCCATTCATGGCAGCATTTGGAAACTAAACTCATTTGTTTAGATATTTGGTGTCAATGTTTTGGAGTTAATTTGATTTGTATATGTTGATAGGTACTAGATTCTGGATTCTCACCAAACCAATAGAATGATATTAGGTTTCTCTCATAATGTTATGTTATTGCCTGTAATGGCCAAGTAGATCTATCTTAAAGTAATATAAGAGGTTTTATATATATATTAAAACTGTGTATGTGTGTGCTTTAATCTGTGGAAGTATCAGAAATTTTTATTGAGTTAACTCTAAAATTATGTGGACATTATTAGAACTTTTCCATTGTACAAAAAGAAACATCCCACTAAATTCATGAATGTATGAATATTAGATATATTTGAGATTCTTTAGTGGCCATTGTCTTCAAGTTCTTTCTTTCTGGTCATTGTGAATAGGAACAGATGTGAGATTAACCCCTCCAAGAATTACTTACTGCTTTTGTCAAACACAGTTTGTAGCAAAATGTATAAAACAGTTTTAATTACCTCCAGGTGAGTTGAAATGTCATGTATTCTAGTCATCTACATCTAATATGATGAAGGCCTAAAACACTTTTATCCTTAGAATTATCTGAGGATAATCAAATTGTACATGTGTGTGACAAAATAATGTAGCAGTGAGTTGATCTGGGACTTCAAGTACATGAGTTTGTGCTGAATGATGTGTTTGAGGGGAATTTT